TTATTTTTGTTGTTATGAAAAAATAAAAGTTGAACATAAATAATTGTATTTAGTTGTTTCTTCAATAACTCTGGTAAAAAATAAAAGAGGATATGCAATATTGATAATCCCCTCTTAAATTTCATTTCATTAAGTTTAATTTGTCTAGTTATAACATGTAAATAAATTTATGTTATGATATTTAAAAAAACCATAAATTGTATTCAAATTATTAAATAATCAAAAATCAGTTTTAAAATTGGAATGAGTTTCTGTTTCTCATTGATTTTTGTTCAAACAAGTGAGTTTTGTGATTTCTATTTTAAATGATAAAAATAAATGAACAAAAATATTATTGAATAACATCGAATTTATTTTTACATTCTTACACAGTATTTAAAAGAGTTGTAAACAACTATCAATCAACACTCAAGAGACAATGAAACAAACTAAGTTACTTGTTATGGGACATACTGGTCATGGTAAAAGTTCACTTGGTAATTTTATTCTTAAAAAGAATGTGTTTAGTGTTAGTGTTAATCCTAATTCTGAAACCAATGAAACAAAAGGATATTCCGGAACAGGTGATAGAAGTGATATACTTGTTATTGATACACCTAGTTTTAACGATTCTAAAGGTCCAGAAAGTCAAAGAGAATATATGAATCAAATGGTAGATTATATTAAAAAAGAAGGAGAAGGACTCCAAGCCATTGTTGTTGTATTAAATTTTAATGAGGATAGATTTCAGAAAATATTAAAATAATGATTAGAATAATAGCTAATGCCTTTCCAATTGCTGGCTTTTGGAAAATGTTTGTATAGTATGGACATTTTGTGATTGTTATAAACCTCAAGTGTGTTAGATGAACTTATTAAGACTAAAAGATCAGATTATAATAAAGAACTGATGGATTTTATTAACCAAACAACAGGAAGTGAACGCATCATTTTCCCAATGTTTTTTGTAAACTCAAAACCACTTGCAGGATATGATAACTCTAGATCAGAGAATGAAATTGAATCTCTTTTAAAATGGGCAAGAAAGTTATCATTTATTGATGTTGATAAAGTTGTAAAGAGGGACATTTTCTATGAATCTGTTATTCTAGAAGAGAAAGATGAAGAAATAATCATAAATAAAACAAAAAGCAGTTTAACTATTCAAATCAACCACTTGACTAGGGAGAGAAGAATTCCTTATTATGGGCGTGAACCTGTTTACTTAGATTGGGAAGTTGTTAGTTCTAAGACTAAAACCAAAGATTTTCATAAAGAATATGTCCCACAATATATTTACAGAGATCCACCAAAAGAGAAAAAAGATGAAGAAGGTATCGACCTTGACGAAACAATACCAAATTTGATTGCTGCAGGTGCTATTGTGGGTACTGTCATTGCAGCTTTTATTGATAGTCGAAGAAAAAAATAGTCAAACTAAAAAGGGTTATTTTCTTAACTTTTTAAGAAAAAGAATAAATTTTAATTCAATACTTTAAAACATACTTTTTGTTGTACCAACCAAGTACTGAAGGAAATAAAGATAACCAAAAAAGAGTTCCAAAAAGGTTAAAGAGAAAATAATGATTTTGTTTAATTAGTTTGATTGATATATATTTGTTTGTTTAAAAATCTATTTGTTGAAATTTGCTTCATTTATTCTCGCATTTTTACACGTTTCTTTTTTAAATATCTCTTGCTTTTTATATTCTTACTTAATTCATCACTGAGAATCGAATGTTACATATCAGAAACACAGCAAAGAAACCCTAAATGAGGTACATGCTTCAATTCAATAATTATTGTCTTGTCTTGTCGTGACGTTGACTTTATTAAAAAACGATAACACCACTATCCAATACTGCAACGTTTCAACTCCTTTTATTGTCTATTAGATGTTATTTGCTATTTGGAGGGAAAAAAAGAAGAGTTACAGGACACACCACAAAAATTATAAAAAATCAATAACAAAAGAAGGAGAAATCAATATCATCCATGAAATATAAATGATAGAAGAATGAGTGAAAACAGCTATTATCTGTATGGACAGAAATACATTAATCATCACATTAATCATTACCATAATATTAACTATCACCATAACAATTATCATAATAATTATAATAATAATTGTATGAATCGTTTCACTCATCACTTCAATCATTTTCATCATCATAAGTATTTTATCAATAATTCAAATAGAATCAATCAATATTATAATACAAATAAATCACATAATAAAACACAAATATGACACAAACAATACCATAATAAAAGACAACAACAAATAAGAAATAAAAGAAATAATAGTAAAAGATAATCCAAATTGAATAATTAAAAGAATGAAGAGAACATTTGGTAAGAATATTAATTTTAATAAATTAATATAATACAAATAAATGAAAGAAAACATGATGTAAACAAAGTATTTGAATTTGTAACAAATAAAATAAATAAAAGATATTTAAAAGAAAAGAAATATGGTGAATATATAATAAATGTAAAATGTATATTTAATAATATGAAATTATCAATAACCACATGTCATTAAATATAAAAAGAAATGTATTCCTCTAAGTAGTAAAGATGCAAGAATGAGTAATTATGACACGAAGTATTAATTCTAATTTACTTCATATTGATATATTAAAATATTGAAAACATTGTCCTAACACAATTCCATCTATTAGCAATATATTATTATAATGTAATGAATAATAATCAAATATCAAAACATGATTATGTATGAAAACAAATATATAAACATATATTAATTACATATTTTATTAAATTTAATGAAAATTGATTTTAATATATATCATAAATGTATATTAATATTAATATATTCTTATATTAAATTATTGATTTATTTGTTAATGACAATTCTTTTAATGTTAGAATACCAGATATATATTATCAAATCATCAAAGATAAAAATGGTATATTAATGATGTTGACATATGTCAAGATAGAAACATTAAATTAAATTATATTTACAAAATAAATAAATACAAAGAATTACAAGAGAAGTTAATATAAAATAGAGAATTAACTTATGTAGAAATAATACCTGTAATATTATCCAATAAATTAATACATAATGAAACAGTAAGAAGATTAAAAACACTAAAATTACAAATTGACTTCAACAAAATACTACGAACAATCATTATTAAAAACATGAAATATTTAATGTTCTACATATTCAACACTGGTAACACATTAGAAGATGAACCTTCTAATTCTCATATGTTAGAAATGAGTTCTATTGTAGAAGTAGACCATATTGAAACACTGAAACAATCACTTCTCAATAATCATAAAATCAAATTGTGATATATCTATTATTTGATATTTTTTTTATTGGTTATTTTGGAGTTGACTTTAACTTTATATATTTTTTTAATATATAAAAAGAATTATTTTAGTTCCAATAAATAAAGAAAAGAAAGAATAATGTCAGAAGTAGTAAAAAAGAAGGAAAAGTAGGAAAAGATAGTGATTATGCTGGAGGAAAAGCACTTCGTTCTGTTGATAAAAGACCCAGGATTGGGGAATGTCAAGAGATTCACGTATTATAAGAGCTGGACACTATTGAACATACTAGAAGAGGAATGATAGCAAGTTTGCAAGGGGACCATGAGAGAGCTGAAGCAGAGTATCAAAGAGCAAGAAGTAATCGTAGCCCAGAACGTAATCCAGAAAATGATAAAAAATAAGAGAAAGAATAAATAACTTTTTGGATTAACGTCATTTTAGTACATAAGAAACAATCAATTACGATATTTAATGTTTATATTTTTATTATGTTGATAAGTAAATTAGTTTATTCATTATTATTGAATATGAAATAATGTATTTTAATGAATAATCAATTAAATAGTGAATTAAATAAGTTATTAACTTAACATTTAAATATCACTGAATAATATTGGATTCATGACTGTATTGAGAATAATTTATATATGTTAAGAAGAATATATCATTAACACTGTGACTGTGGTTATAAATCATCTTCTTTATATTCATAAGAACTACCATTATAACACATTTTATTAATAATATTCTATATTCTTCATAATCATTTATTAATTAATGACTATCAACTCTTTATAATCAATAAGCATCATTAATAATTAATAATCTACTTTACCATTAGCCAATAATAAGTAATAAAAAATAGTCCTTAGTTGTAATCAATAGATTAGTATTCATTTTCTTGTTATTCAATGAACTTCATTTACAATCAATAATATTCATTCATGACACCCAATAACAAGTAATAAACAATAACAATATCTGTATTGTTACAGATTTATCAATAATATTATTACCTTAACTAAATCTAACATCGTTTCTAATCAATAATTATTGAATAGAATATTCTTTCAAGCAGTATATAATGGTGTTTCTATTATATCTTTGAACTCATAAAAATCAAGAAAGTAATAAAGAATAATAAAAACTAATAAAATAAGTAAGAGTAGTTCTTGTTTTATTTATTTCAATTTACTCAGGTGAAATTACATCACATCCTTCACTCTCTATTGAATCATGTGCATGAGGTAGTTCTATATCTTTATATTCACTTTCATGTTATCCACATTATTTCATTATCTTTCATGTTTATAATTATTATATCTTTTACATTTATTTCATATTGAATTATTATACCTTGTTATTTTATCATTCTTATTGTTTCTTTATTGACTCATCAATTTGTTGTTATTACCACTGAAATTACTTTCATTTTAGTTTATTAATTTATTTTATTTTGAAATGGAGTGTTCTATACATTTCAAGTTCATTAGTAAATATTAGAATTATCTTCTTATCACATATTATTGTCATATCAATTATTATTTATATTTGTTTTAATTTATCTTCTATATAAATATCTGATATTTTATGAAATTTTCACTTTTATTAACTATTTGTTGATTTAATACAATGAACACTTCATTATTTTATATTCTTATTTTGAGTTTACTTATTTCATTTTTATTAAAATTTATTTTATTTTATTCTATTTTATTCTCTATTTCTTCATCATTCAATCCATTTATTTTATATTTTAATTTATCATCTCTCCAGATACATTCTTTTATTAATTCATGGTTATTAATATGTACATTCTTATTTACAATATAATTTAATAATATATGTTCAATTGTTGATATTTTATCATTATAAATACTATATCATTTTAAATTATTATTTTATGTAAATAATGCATTCTTAATCTATAAAAATGTACCATTTTGTTACACTAATTTTAATTAATTATAATCATTTCTTTTTATATTAATATTCATCAATATTATACTTGTTAATTTCATATCATTCATTTCATTTTCAATTTATTTTATTAAATGAATATTTACATTATTTAATTTCAATTTATTAATATACATTTCATTAAATTCATTATTTAAATATTTTATTATTATAGATGATTCATTCTTATTTTGTACCAATAAATATATTTCATTAATTTCATTTTTATTAATTCTTTTATCACATGTTTTTATAAAATCACTTCCAAATTCAATTCTTATTCATTTTATTCATTTCTCATATTTCATTATTTCCATTCATAATAAATAATAGTTCTTATTAATTCTAATTCATATTCATCTCTTATTATCTTGTTATTTCATCATTATGATATTATATATTTTATTTAATCTTCTTCTAATTTCTTATCATTATTTTATTTTTATTTATTCTTATTCTATCTTCTTTATTAAGGTCTATTCTATTCTTCTTCTTCATATTAATTAAATATCTATTTGTTTAATTTTTTGTTTTATGGGATTCGAAGATAGCACATCAGAGACAACACCACACTCCCTAAATTATTTCCATCCTTCGAATACCCATTGAATACTGATTATAATGTTGTATTTAGTTGAAAAACACTTACCCAATGCTGCAAGAATATCAGTGATTATTAATTACAATGACAGAATATCATTGATAAAAAGAATGGGTATTTATAAAGATGGTATTATTACTTATTAGATACAAGTATAAATGATAATATAAGAAAGATTATCAAAGGAAAAGGGTCAAGTGATTGAGATTAAAAAGAATATTAGCCCAAAGCAATACAGTAGTAATTATATATTCTTCTTAAAATAAGAAAATAAAGAAGAAATTTAAACCCATTAAAATCAAATAGAAATTAAATAATGAATATTTAAATAATTGATGTTTAAAATATTCTATTCCACATCAAAAATGAGAAAAGAAAATTCTCACATTTCAACAATTAGAAGCAAAGAATAAGCCAATAGTTGATGAATAAACAGTTTTAAAACAAAGGGATGGGATTAGTCGGTCAGAAATTATGCATTTCATTCGTATTCATCATTATATTATTATAATGATTTGTGATGTTGTTAATTATTTCATAATTGTTGTCTAAATGTAATGATTGTCTTCATTGTTTGTTTAAAACTTGGTGTTTATGTTTGATAGAATATTGAAATGAATTATCATATTGCAAATTAATTCTTGTTAATTGATTAAAAGATAAAAAAATAGTAGAAAATATTATTAGATGAAAATATTTGTGATTAAATATGAGAAGAATATATTTGTATATTATTAGTTCTATCTTTCTACTTTGATGTCTGTATTAAATGAATATATCTGTTGATGAAATTGAAATTGAAATAAATATAAAAAGAAAATGAAAATGATAAAAGAAAGAATAAAGAAAATAATAAGAAAATAAATATAATGATTAATGATAAAATTAATGAATTATTATCATGAATGAAAGTTGAAGATGAACATTAAATTCATTATTATTATTTATAAATGTTTAATTTATATTACATATTAAATAGTCATTCTTCATTCTGTATTATTGTGTTGATGTTTAAATTATTCATTTTGTTATTATCATATCATCATTTCATTGATACTTCTTATTTATTATCTTTTTATTTATTTCATCATTTAACTCTTGTTTGATATGATAATATAAATAATTTAAATTGTATATTATCATCATTCATCATTGATAATCATCTGTGATATAATTTAATTTTCATATCAATAATTATATCATTTAAATAAATAAATAATAACATCTGTTAACATATCATTATGATATCTCATCAATGTGATAAATGAAATATAACATATTTACACATTAATAACAATAAGATGGATATTCATATTTATATAATCATTGATATTCATAACTAACATTATAAATTTGAATTAACATAATGTTCTTCTTTATTACATTTCATAATGATATTTTCATATTAAAATAGAATTGATGGTAAATGAAATAAAGAATAATATAAAATGAACAGAATTATGAATGAATATACTCAACAAATCAATATACATCATACTCAATACAACAAGATATTACAAAATGTCGACTGATTGTTATAGATTTTGTATTTTACCTACTTTTTATTTTATTTTATATTTTTATATTTTTAAGAGAAAATAATAGAAAACAGAATAATCTAATATTCAAAAAAATATATTACACCATTTTCAATTGATCATTTTATTTAAATGCATAATTTCTTCGCTTATTTTGGTTCCCGGATTATTCTTACCTGAGCAAGGAACAATATAAAACATTTCTATTATCACTTAATTGTCTACTTTTTGTTTATTATTTAAGAACAAATTAATAAAAACTATTATTTTATTAATTCAAATTATTTTACCCCCTTTTCTTTGTGGTGTTTTTTATTTGGATGCATTATTTCTTTGCTTATTTTGGTTCCCGAATTAATTCATTTTGCAATACAGAATGGAACTTAAAACTAATAAATAAATGGAAAACCAAAACAAGAGAAAAACACAGAGACCATTTCATGAAGAAGTTATCCACTCTGCTACAGTTACTCCAAAGATAGAAAACAAAATACAAGAACATGAATACAGAATTTGTATCTTAGAAACAAATTTAGAAATAATGGTAACAAAAGAAAAAATAAAAGAAGACATTATCAGGCTCATTGATGAAAACAAAGAAAACATTAATGAACAAGTAAAAAAACTAAAAGAAGAAAATGAAAAAATGAGCAAAAACCTAAAGCTCCATGAAAATGAAATTCAAGGTATTACAACAAGTACAGAAATACAATGGTATTTGATTAACGAAATCAGTAAGTCAGTCAACACCAAAGTTAGTAAAGAAGTAGTGAAAGAAATAATACAAGAAGAAATTAAAAAGAAACATCTCCAAAAAATAAAATTTGTAATAGAAAATAAAAACAAGGAAAGCAAAGAAGAAACAGATGAAGTTCAACCAAAAGAAGAAGATAAAGACCAAATTATTTCTCTTAATGATTTAACCATTACAAGATGTCAAATCAAACAACTAGAAGAATGGACATCAAGAAAAATAGGAAATATAATATTTGATTCAAATATTGATAATTGGAATAAGAACACATCAGTATTTGATAAAAGAATAATGAATAAAGAACATATAATAATTATTATTGAAGATGAAGATGGAAATAAATTTGGAGGATATGTTAATAAGAAAATTGATAAATTTGGTTGTATAAATGATCCAAAATCATTTTTATTTTCATTAAAATCAAAAGGGAGAATAGAAGGAATGATGAAATTTGATATTAAAGATCCAGAACATGCATTTTGTTTATATAATCAATCAGATGTTTATTTGTTTGAATTTGGATATGGATATGATATTCGTATTTTTAAAGAAAATTATAAAACAGAATCATTTTGTAATCAATGTTCATATGAATATAAAGGAATAACAAATGCACTTTGTGGAAAAGAATATCCAGAACATTTCACACCACAACGAATTATTGTAATTGAAATGAAATGAGATTATTCCTTATGGTTTATTTGAACAAGAGCCATACAAATAATAAGATTATTTCAATCATTATTAAATAATATAATGATTGTTTATAATTTAACTTATTTCTTTATTATTTTATTATTTTATTTGAAAGAATAATGAATAATGAAATTAATAATAATGAGTTAATCATTACATTTTATTATGTTATATTTCTTATTCTTCTTATTTATTATTATTATTTTGTTGTTCTTTATTATGTTATTATCATTCTTTAATTTATTATATTTCATTTTATTTTAATTATTTATTTCTATCATTCTTTATTCTTTTATTCTTTCTTATTTTCTGTTTTAGTATATAAGTTGAATATTACTTTTAATTTATTTTAATTTATATTATTTATTATTTATTTTATTATTCATTTCATTGTTGATTCTTTTATTTGTATTTATTTATTGTATGTTTGTTATTTGATTAATATTTTAATTTATTATTTTCTGTATTATTTATTCTTATTTTATATATTTTCTTTATTTCTTTTTCTGTATTATTTATCTTTTGTTTGTTGTTGAAATATATTGTATTTGTGTTCATTCTTTTCAATATTTCATTTGAATCTTACCATTTGATTATTGTTAATCTCATCATTTCTTCATTCTTTGATTACTCAATAATTGATATAATGAAGATAATATTCAATTTTACACAAATTAATGATTTTATAACATCATATTGAATTATCTTCTTTGAATATGTCAATTACATCATTTATTGAATTGTTTCAATAAACTCAATCATTTCTTTTGTTCTTCTGTTCATTTCTATTATTTGTGTTGTTTATTTAAAAAGAATTGAATTATATATTTTCAATGATATATTTAATGTTGATGTAATACATTATCATTGTACTGATAATATCACTATATCATTTATTATTATTTTATTATTTTATTGTGTTTTATATAAAATATCATATTTATCATTTATTATTTCTTTTTCATTCTTCATTTAACTGTTAGTTATCATCATAATAATTTGTGATGATATTATAATGTATATCTTCTATTATTTCAACTTATTTTATCATTTTTCATATCATTTCTTTATTTTTCTTTCAAATTTCTTATTATTTATTCTTTCTGATAAAATTCATATTTATCATTCATTCCATATTATTTGTAATTGTTTTGTATATTGTGGTTATTGTTTATTTCATATTTTGAGAGTGATTATTGTTGTGTTCTTTTTTATGATTTATCGTGTTCTTATCAACTAAAAAATAAAAAAATATCAATGAATTTTAATTTGAATAATGAATTTATCTATCTTTCTCAATTGTAATATCTTCTTCATTATTTGATTTATTTTGTATTGTGATTCTATTTACATTGTATTATATTTGATAAATTAAATGATGAAATGCACAATGTGATATAATTAATTTGTTTATTTCTTTTGATTCTATTCTATCATATTTACTTGATATTCATCATTTTGATATTTAAACAATTGCATATTCTTATAACACATCTCATTTCTCTCTTGATATTCATCATTCATCAGTAAATTCATTCATATCATTCATAGTATTATCAATGATAATTCATATCATCATATTTCTATTTCAATCTTCAAATAATTGATAACACTCAATGAAATAATATCAAATTCATATTCTGTAATCATCTTATACTTCATTTATGAATTGAATATAACAATAAAACAACTTCATTCAAATTATTTTTAAATGAACTAATAAAAACAACTAATAAACAATAAATCAATAATGAAATTAGGATATAATGAAATAATGATAGTATCAATGTATTTTAATGATATTAATGATTTTATTAATTTAGAAATGGGTGTTAAAAGATTTCAAGGAAATATTGAACGATTTCATTTTAATCCAATTCCTTTAAATGAATATTCAAGAAGATTCTTTACTAATATTGAAACATTTCATATTTATAATGAAAATGATAAAATATTTAAAGATGGAAAAATATTTAAAAAAGTAATATGGTATATAGTAGAATATTCAAAATATTTAAAAGAGAAAGAAAAATGAAATATCTGTAAATATAGAATATACACAATATGATAGAAATACATCTGTAAGTACAATACCAATAGAAGTTAAATCACTCAGAGAATATAGTTTTAAATATTAGAGTCCATTGAAACAAGTTACAATACCAACAACAAATAAAGAATTAAAAGATAATTGGTTTTGGGATGTAGGTCATTAAAAATATTAACATTCTAACAATAAATAATACAAACAGAATATATTAATTTATAATAACGTTCATTATTAACATCAATTCCTTTAGAAAAATTAAAATTCATAAATGAAAAGAATATTTTATAATGAACCAGCATTAGTTAGTATTGAATTATTGTATAGTTTAAAATTAATGAATGGAAGAGAAATTGAAAAAACAATTATTAATGAATTTATTATTCCAATTACAATTAGTTAAATAAGTAATAATTGTTTGTGTAAATGTACTTCATTGTATTCCATTAATATCATTTTTCAATTTATAAATTAGTAAATGAATACTTTATTGAATGTTCAAGGTAACATTAATTACTCTTCCATTTTCTGTTTTGAATTATGAAATACATGTTTTTTGGTTGTTTATTTTTAACATCAGTTAATATTCCAACATCATTTACTAGAATTGGATATTATTGTTTTTATGAATGTAGAATAAATAATATCACTACTCCTACTTCAATTAATAAATTGGACTGTCAATGTTTTTATGGATGTTTATCATGAAATAATTACTATCCCTCCTTCTATTACTAAATTAGAAATACTTGTTTTAGAAAGTGCAGGGTAATCTTCTATCACTTTACTACTTCAATTGTTAAATTACGATAGCTGTTTTTATGATTGTTCTTGAATGACTTCGATTATTCTCCAATCAAAATTACATCATTTGGAAAGATTGTTTTTATGATGTGGTTGTTCATCACTATTAACAGAAGTTACACAAATACTAAGAGAATATTTTCTAGTACACTAATTTCACATTAACATAACAATCAAATCATTCATTTATTTTGAATGTTTAATGTTCATTCGATGATTAAATCATCATTGTCATTGATATTTGTGATATTATTTCATTTTTGTTATTAAATTATGTTATTATTTGATGACATGATACCACGTTATTCCACGTTGATATGAATAACAAAATATGAATAACAACCAACACAACAACAAGTCATCACATCATCCTCATTAAGTATTTAAAGGAACTTGAACAAATAACAAGCATTTAGAAATAAAACATGGACCCAAACAAATGGACAGATGCAACTGTTCAAATGTTCAAAGAATCACAAGAAATAGCATTTGAAAGAAAAAATGCATATATTATGCCAATTCATATGATGGAAGCAATTGTTGAAGAAGAATCAAATATTGTTATCCGAATAGTTGAAATGATGGGAGGTGATGTTAATAAATTAAAGAAAGAAATAAAAGAAACAATGAATAAAGTCCCAGTTCAAAATCCACCACCAGTTGATATTGGACTTCATCCAACAACACAACAAGTATTAAGAAGAGCAATAGAGAAACAAAAAATAATGGGAGACTCATATCTTGCAATAGATGTAATTGTAATGTCATTAATGGAAGAGAAAGAAATTAGTACAATAGTAGGAAATAGTGGAATTAATGTGAAAGAATTTAACAAAAAAATAACAGAAATGAGAAAAGGACAAAGTGTAGAAACAAAAGAAGCAGAAAGTCAATATGAAGCATTAAAGAAATATGGAAATGATTTAACAGCACAAGCAGAAAGTGGAAAGATGGATCCAATTATTGGAAGAGATGAAGAAATTAAACGAGTTATTCGTATTTTATCAAGAAGAACAAAAAATAATCCAGTATTAATAGGAGAACCAGGAGTAGGTAAAACAGCAGTAGTTGAAGGACTTGCACAACGAATAGTTAAAGGAGATGTTCCAAGTAATTTACAATGTCGAGTTATTGGATTAGATATGGGAGCATTAATAGCAGGAGCACAATATAGAGGACAATTTGAAGAAAGATTAAAAGCAGTAATAAAAGAAGTTAAAGAGAGTAAAATACCTATTATATTATTTATAGATGAAATTCATACAGTATTAGGAGCAGGAGCAACAGGAGAAGGAGCAATGGATGCAGCTAATATTTTAAAACCAATGTTATCAAGAGGAGAATTACGATGTATTGGAGCAACAACATTAGAAGAATATAGAAAATATGTAGAAAAAGATCCAGCATTTGAAAGACGATTCCAACAAGTTTATGTAAAAGAACCAAGTGAAGAAGATACATTATATATTCTTCGAGGAATACGAGAGAAATATGAAAATCATTATGGATTAACAATTACCGATTCAGCATTAGTTTCAGCAGCAACATTAAGTAAAAGATATATTAATGGAAGATTTCTTCCAGATAAAGCAATTGATTTAGTTGATGAAGCATGTGCTACATTATTTACACAAAAGAATTCACAACCAGAAGAAATAGATAAATAGAAGAAGAGAAACACAATTAAATGTAGAGAAAATAGCATTAGAAAGAGACATAAAGAA